CAAAAGACAAAAGACAAAAGACAAAAGACACCAGTTGGAAATTATCACCACTTAATGTCATGTTGCTCTCCACTGCCCACTGGAAAACACTGCTTACACCTTCCTGTAAATATTCAGTGTCTTCTACTGAAGTAACTTTCGTGCCCTAAGTATTCAACAAAGTTTGCCAGTACTGACTTGTGTATAAGTCATATGCTTCCAATGTAAATTTTAGATACAGTTGGCAAACTGCCAGTTTAAAACTGAAGTACTGTACTGATATGCCTTTCTATTTTCAATTGTTATGACTGTGTGTCTTATGTACTAGCATGCACGATCTTTCATGCCTTTCAATACGCAATCTGCCAATATTCTTGACATGAGCTCAACTGTTTGGGTCTCCTATAACTTCAAGCCTTTGAAAAAATCTAAGACCAGGCAGGTTCACACAGTGCATCATGAGTAACACTGCCCAATTAGCACCAGTAAACAATTAAACTAGGAACTGTTCCACCACCAGCTTCCCTACCAGCAAACAGGCTGTGAAACTACCAGGAAGATGACTTATTCATTCATTTTTTTTATAATTTCATGATACAGTGGAATTCAGCCAATAAGCACACTATATAGACTTAGACTAAGATAACTCGATACTATCATCAAACAATTGTAATATCATAAGATTTCCTGGTAAATACTGGAACACAGGGGTTACATTTATAGTGACACCTAAACTGTCATATCTGCATGCCTCTGCAAAGACAAGTGATAGTGTGAATGATAATGAAAGTTTTTTTTTTTTTTTTTTTTGGGGGGGGGGAGTTACCCTGCCTCAATGAGAGATGGCCAAAGTGTTAAAAAAAAAAAATTATTCCCTCACACCTAAATTTACTTTTTTAACACCCTGGCCATCTCCCACCGATGTAGGTTGATTAAAAAAAGAAACAGTTTCGCTATTATTCACTCCATCACTCTCTTGCCAGAAGTGTGCAATACCACAGGTCAAACGCCCCTCCAAACTGCAAATATCCCCACTACTCCTTCAGTGCATAGGCACTGTACTTCTCACCTCCAGGACTCAAGTCTGGCTAACCAGTTTTCCCTCAATCTTTTCACAAAATGTTACCTTGCTCTCACTCCAACAGTCATCAAGTCCAATAAACCATTTGCCTTTGCTCACTATTAACACGCTCACACACGCCTGCTGGATGTCCAAGCCCCTAACACAGGAAAGCCACCATAACCCCTTCCCTCCAATCCTTCCTACTTCAACCTCTACCCAACCTTCCCACTACTATAGATTTATACACACTCCAAGTCATCCTATTTTGCTCCATCCTCTCTAAATTTCCAAACCACCCTAACAACCCTTCCTCAACCCACTGAATAATACTTTTTAGTAACTCTGGACCTCTCAACCTTACCCTCATTGTAGCATTCATAACTCATGCTTAATGCCCATATAAGTGTGTCGGTACCACTATACCCCTCTTTGCCTCCATAGATAATGTTCTTTGTCTACACAAATGCCTCAATGCACCACCTACCTTTTTCTCTTCATCAATTCTATGATTCATCTTGTCTTCCAAATACCCATCTACCAACAAGCCCACTCCCAAATATCTAACACATTCAATTCCTCTCTACCTCCTCTTTCCAATCTGATATATACAGTGGACCCTCGGTATTGGCTGTTCCAGATATCGGCCAATTCGGTTTTCGCCCGCTTTTTTGGCTGAAATTCTATCCCGGTTATAGGCCATTAATTCGGAGATTGGCCATATTGGACGGCATAATAAATTATCTTGAGCACATTAAATGTCTTATTTTAGGTTAATATAGACATTTTCTTTAATCCATCTATGATAATTTCTTCAAAATTATATAAGAAACACATTACATAGTATACAAAAAATGCAATGTTTATATGTGATGTATGTTTAATAATAACCACTCTTGGGAACACTGTCATATTTTAGGTTAATATAGACATTTGCATTAATCCATCTATATTTTCTTCAAAATTATGTAAGAAACATGTTACATATCATATAGCATATAAACAAAGCATATAAACATGCAATGTTTATATGCTATCGAGTGGAGAGTCAGGTGGAGAACCAAGAGTACGTTTTCTCTGATTAAGTGTTAGAGAAAACTGTGAATCTGGCGTCTCGTCCAGTAACCGCCCTTCATATGCATGAAGGGCATGAATTATTCATTACTTCTCCCTTTGTTTATGATGGCATCTAAAGCTAGTTGTTAGAAATGATTAAACTCAGTGAACATGGTAATAATATGGCTGTGTAGTGTAGTCCAAGGGAGTTACACTACACAGAGGGGAGAGGGAGTTGGGGATTCCCAACTCCCTCTCCCCTCCTGCAATGTTCATTTATCATTAATATTTGTGCTTTACTGCCTCGTTGAAAAAAAAAAAAATTGTGCTTTATATTTATATTCTCGGTTGTTTGTCAGTATTGTAACAACTATAGTTTAATCTTTAACCCTTAAACTGTCCAAATGTAGATCTAGCTTTGCCCTCGTGGCGCTGCCATCCGAACCTAGAATTTTTCTCCATAAGAAACAATGTATAAAAAAGTAGATCTATGTTTGGAGTGCTACCGTTAATCGAACATAGATCCTATGTTTGGACAGTTTAAGGGTTAAGGGTTAAAAAATGTATTTTTAGTTAATATTTTTGGGTGTCTGAAACGGATTGACTGGATTTACATTAATTCTTATGGGACATATTAATTCGGTTTTCGACCTTTTCGGATTGAGACCGGCCTTCTGGAACAGATTACGGCCGATAACCAAGGGTCTACCGTATAATTAACCAAGAACAACCCAATATAGTCAAACAATGTGACCTAGTTCAATGTTATGAGGAGTATTACACATGTAATATCATAGGTATTCCCTGTACAGTATTACAAGACCAAAGTAGAAAAAATACAAAAAACAATTACTTGCTTTAATTTATACTACATATTCTATGTGGACTAATATCGGGCTATGCATTTCCCCATGTCTGAAAGCACTAGAACACCTTGAAAAAACATCTAATATCATATAAAGGCAGTGTACATAGTTGCACAGTGTACAATCATAATTTGGCATCATCAATTATAAAACAATAACAACAGTGGCACATTTATATCACTGTTGCTGAGTGATCATTTTGTTCGCCAGCTTGAACACGTCATAAAAAACGTAAGCTTTAATCAGATTGCACTCATCTTAGTTTATTCAGTTCATAAAAAATGCATAATGCACTTCTTTGCAAAATCTGTAAGAAAAAGATTTTTTTTCATTTTTTTTTTTTTTTTTTCAAAAATTTGTCACACCACACAGGATTTGTACTTTCTGGGTATTCACGTCAGTGGATTAAAAATGAATCCTACGGAACTTTTTCCAAGGGACTTTATTAACCCATTTTCGGCCATTTCACTGTACTAGTCGACAAAAAACATGAATATTTCGCTAGAACTCCATTTTTTTCATCGAATGGGTGAAAGAAACCCCCCCATTTAAAAATTAAACTATCCAGACAGGGTCAGAATTAGCAATTTTTGTAAATTTCACACAAATTTAAAAGATCCAATTTCCGAATAGGTCCAGAATAAACAAAAAGACTTCCGGCACTAAAATACTTTTCCTCTAGTCTTTAGTCACGTCTCAATGCCCCCCTTTTAATCTTTTCTTTCCACTTTGAATTTTTATTCTCACAAAAATATAAGATTTACTGTTATGCAGACTACTGCATTAGTGTAAAAAATGGTATAAATATTTTGGGTGCACTTGTGAAAAAATATTAGACTCACCTTGACGTGTATTCACGTTTGGGGCACATTTGTTTACTTTTGAATTTTGTAAAAATCGAACATTTTTGCATTTTGGCTAAATTTCAACACCTTTCATTGAAAACCATCAAATCTCTCAAATTTTTCCCTTTTCTATAAAAGAACCAAAAAAAACTAAATACAAAAAAAATACCATACACAATCACTGCAAAGTCGCTGTTTTAAACCCAAAAAAAATTGTCAAAGTTTTTTTTTTCTCATTATGCACTGGGCTGCGGGATTTTTTTTAGACTGTGCACACTGCCACAAAGACCCATCTTTCATATGAAGGCCTACCAGCTTTCCCCACTAGTTTTGAGGCCGCTAGAATTTATGCTACTATACCAAAACCCCAACCGTAAGAGAAACAGTACGACCAAAACCCCCAAAGGGTTTTTACAACGCTTTTTGTACTTGCCTATACTAGTTCGTAGGTGCATTAACTCCCCAAAATTTTAAGATCACACATTTCACCTGCAGCAGTATCTTCTTCCAGAACTATCATTCTCTAATCAAAATTCAAATACTGTACACTGAGCCATTTTCTGGCTGCTTGTTTTATTTTGGGTAGTGCCATAATATATTCTATACATTATGGGTTGTAAGACAGTGCTTTTTCCAATGTATCGTTCTAATTGTTTAAACAACATATGAGACAAAGACAAGTTGTTAGATTATACTGTACATAGGATGCATGCAGGTTTTGTTCTATTGTAGATTCACCGGTATAACCGCCCAGCCCGGGCCTTTTCCAAAAGGTGGGCCGGCCTTGGTTCCCTGTCGAGGGAGTGTCTCAGACCAATGTCTGCCATGGGAGGAGGTACAAGTACCTCCCCATCTTCTAGGACCAGCTGTCCCCAGGCCTAGCCCCATTCCCCTCCCCCACAGGGCTCGGAGGGTGAAGCTAGGCACCTTGGGCTGCCACACACCCCGCCCACACTGGGCTCGAAGGGTGTGGCAGCTGTACAGCAGCAGACGATGTCAGGAGGTGCAAAGGCAGCAAGCACTACAGGATCCTTTTGGAGTCACACCCCAGCTTTGGGCATTAAGTCCAAGTGCTGGGGAAGCTCAAGAATGCCTCTTGCTGTGTGTTGCAGCTGCTGCAACTACACTTGTCCATTGCACTCTCCTCAAGGTGCATGCAGGTGGTACACACAAGACACATGGAGCATAACTTACCTGTGAGAGAACGGAGATGTGGTCGACATAGTACTGGTCGGCCTGAGGCTTTGTGAAGCGGTTGCAAAGACAAGACTTTCCCAAGCCTGTCACGCCTTTCTCTCTCTCTCCACCCGAAACACCCACCACGGACACCACCACTTGCTTGGCTGCATCCCCGCCTCGACGAGCCATGCCCACCCAAGCCACGGGCTCCGACGCCCACGCTACGGGAGGCCAGCCCAGGCTCACACAATACTCGGTAAACCCATCATGTATATACTTGTTCACCAACGCCCACACCCATGGCTGCCTCAGGTAATGCCACCATTAAGCTACAAACTAAGTCACCACACCACACAGCAAAGGCCCTTGCTGCCCTCTTGGCCTGGGCCACAGGCCTTCCCCACTTTTCTAAGAGGGTTTTTCTTGAGCCACAATATTATCACTGATATTGTTGCACCATCAATTTTTCAAAGATTATTCACTATATAAATATTAATAAACCCTACTCAACACAATCACTACTGTGGCCACATTGAATCTTGGTAACAAGAGTAATGGAACTTCAACATGGACATGTTTGCAGCTGCTCAGGCCAGGGCAAAGCAGGAGGCCATGGGTGATTTAAGGCTAAACAGACACTTGGGTGGACTGGTGTGGGTGTGTGTAGGAGAAGAAGGGCCAGTGGGCGTGATGTTTAGGCGTGGATGATGAGAAGGCCGCCCACTGGAGGGACCCTGCTATTTAACCGCCCACAATCATACTGCACAATCTGTGGACAAACAAAATAATTAATTTCCCTGATTATTAGAAAAAGATTCATAGGAAATAAGAGGTGGTCCAATTATTTTATAATATGATTATGCACTGAGAATTAATGTTACAGTACTCAAACAGTATACAATAACTAAAGGTCATACAATGCCTTTTATGTACCTTTAAAAACTTTAAAGAATCTTGAGGAATTCCAGAACACATTTGATGTGTACTCATAAAATCAATTAGTTTACTGCTTGTTAATCAAAGTTATGTACAATACCGTATATCTTTAACAGGAAAAATGAAAGACGAGGACCAAAAATTTGACTCACGAAATCGTAATGACACGATTGCAAACAAACCATACCACGGGCGGGGATAGAACCCGTGATCAGAGACTCTAATCACGGGTTCTATCCCCACCCGTGGTATGGTTTTTCAAAAATTTGAATCTGATTTTGAATACAGTAAATAGCAGTCTTCTAGCATAATAGGTTAACAAAGAGACAAATGCAGTTCTTTAATTAAACAGAATTTTTGGACTAAGAAGTTACAGTATACATATTATTACTATTTGCATGTGCAATTAACCATGGCTAGACACAAACAAACCACCTGGTTCAATATCATGATCTAGGTAGCATAAGGTTTTATTAAGTCAAAGAATGTTAATTTTTTTTTTTTTCATTTCTTGAAAGTTGGTAATGAGAGCCATTCCAAGAGCTCATCAAGCAAATAATATGTAGTTGTTAAATAAAACTTGGAAGCTATGTGAAATTCAACAAAAAAATTAAATTAAAATGTTTTTTCTTATGAGGCATGCAAAGATATTATAGCAGATATATGTACAGTTCATTCCATTTCTAATACAAATGAAGGCTCAGAAGAAGGCCACTTATTAAGAGCAAGTCCCGAAGCTCAATTGCTAGCACACTCGGCTCTCACACTGAGGTCTGGGGGTAGATCCCTGGTATGGGTATAAACATTAGGACGTGTTTCCTTAAGACACCTGCTGTCCATGTTCACCTATCAGTAAAATGGGTACCTGGATGTTAGTTGACTGGTGTGAGTTACATCCTGGGGATAAGATTTATCTAATTTGCCTGAAATGCTCTGCATAACAAGGGGTTTTCTATATAGTAATATGTCACTGATGTCAGCTAGACCTGTATACATGTATGTACTTGTAAAAATTATTTTATTATTATGAAATTCGTTTTGAGCAAACTAATCATAAGGTTTCCATGCTACTTAAATCCAGACCCAGCATATTAATTAAAACACTGACTATCAGTACAACTTGAACAATTCATTACAATCAAAAGTACAATGAGACAGGGTGCAATTTGGCCTAGATATGATAATAGGTCTATGCGGTGAGTCAACTTAGAGGGAGTTCCAGGGGTCAATACCCCCATGGCCAAGTCCATGACCAAACATCAAGGTGGATCAGGACCTGATCAACCAGGCAGTTACTGATGGCTACATGCAATCCAACATATGAACCACAGCTCGGCTGATTGGGCATCTATCCAGTTCCCTCTGAAAGACAGATAGGTGTCTATTTGTAATCCCCTTTGTGTATGATGTGTCAGGGGCCCAAGGCTGTTCAGCAGCGTTGGACCCTTGACACTTAGTTTTCTCTCAGTGTATTCATGGCACCCTTACTTTTCATTGGGAGGATGTTGCACTGTCTGCCGAGTCTTTTGCTTTCATAGGAAGTGATTTCTGTGAGCAAATTTGAAACCAGTCCCTCTGGAAAGTGAGAAGTATAAAAAGAAAAAAAATTCTGCCCCACACAGTGCATGATATGAAAAGCCAAACTCTGACTTCATGTGTGGTTTAAAATAGTAACTTTGAGGTGTTTTATACAGAGTACATTTAAACTTGATAATAGTGGGGTGTGTGTGTGTTTTCTGGAAGTTGACCGAGTGGTCATTCTAATAGCAGATTTTTAATGAGTTATGAGGGGGAGGATTTAAGAGACTACTGTAGATCCTTACATACATATACATGTACTAAAAGTGATGTAAAGAGACAGTAGTACAGTGAGTAATGTTCTGTGAGGTACTTAGTAATACATTTTCTGAAAAAGAAGGCCTGCCATTGTAGAAATTTTCTTGAGGTATGTGCAGAATGTGAGTGTTGAATTTTAGTTAGCTCTGGAAGACATATACATTAATTAAGATTTTTTCCTTGTTTTGTCTTTCAATATGTGTATTATTTACCTATACATTCAACTGAATATTTTTAGCTTTATTCCCAGACATTATGTAGGTCTTACCAATATTAAAAGAGTTTATTGGTTGTCCTCCAAGAAGATATCTTTAAGAGTTCATCATTAACAGCATTAGGGGGACAACCGTATCTGGATTTAAGATGAAGGTTGTATAATCTGGAAACATAACTGGCTTAAATACCTGGGAGGCATTAGGTAGGTTACTGATGTAGATGCATCTGTGTACTTTTCACCTAACAAAATAACAGAGGGCCTAGAAGACTGCCCTATATCCATGAAGTATCAAGGTAGGTTACGGGGAAGGGAAGAATGGAAAGCTCTGGAAGAGGATTCAGCATTTTCCCCAGAAGCAACAGCCACAGCCTAAACTACCACCACTTTCTGACCATGGATGTAGCCACACCCTATGTTGGGACCACATCATTCAGTGTGAACACAGCACAAAGAGATCAACATAGTCATACCTCATCTCAAGCCACACCACCTGTGGATTAACATGACCACACTACCCAAGGGCTTCCATAGCTACATCCTGCCTTGGTACAGTTAAAATTTCTCCATGGCCACACTATTACTACCACTACCCGTGGGACAAACTACCACCCACCTACAATCTCCCTCCTCCCCCCACCCCGAACTCTCCAGCCACCGCCACCAAAATCAATAAGAGATAGAGGCAACGCCACACACACACACACGCACACACACACACGCACACACGCACACACACACACACACATGCACACACACATGCACACACACATGCACGCACACGCACGCACGCACGCACATACACATACATACACACACACACACACACACACACACACACACACACACACACACACACAACACACACACACACACACACACACACACACACACACTGGAGACCAGGAGGGCCCGGGGAGACATGGTAACGACATATAAAATACTGCACGGAATAGGCAAGGTAGACAAAGACAGGATGTTCCAGAGATGGGACACAGAAACAAGGGGTCACAATTGGAAGTTGAAGACTCAGACGAGTCAAAGGGATGTTAGGAAGTATTTCTTCAGTCATAGAGTTGTCAGGCAGTGGAACAACCTAGAAAGTGACGTAGTGGAGGAGGGAACCATACATAGTTTTAAGACGAGGTTTGATAAAGCTGATGGAGCAGGGAGAGAGGGGGCCCAGTAGTAATCAGTGAAGAGGTGGGGCCAGGAGCTATGACTCAACCCCTGCAACCACAAATAGGTGAGTACAAATAGGTGAGTACAAAGGATGCAAACACCCAAGACACACACACAAAGATACACATACAAAGGACACAAACACCCATGGACACACACCCACTTATGGACACAAACACCCAAGACACACATCAGTGGACACACGGAGATACACCCACAGACACATGGGGACACGCACACCAATGAGGGGACACACCCACCCATAGAGGAGACACTCACCCATGGGGGGGGAGAGACCTACAGGGAGACACCTACAGGGAGACACCCACAGGGAGACACACCCACAAGGAGACACCCACGGGGAGAGAACCCACGGGGAGAGACCCACGGGAAGAGAGACCCACGGGGAAAGAGACCCACGGGGAGAGACCCACAGAGAGAGAGACCCACGGGGAGACCCACGGGGAGACACACCCACGGAGAGACACCCACGGGGAGAGAGACCCACGGGGAGAGAGACCCATGGAGACACCCACAGGGAGAGACAGCCAAGGGGAGAAACACCCACGGAAAGACACACCCACAGGGAGACACCCATGGGGAGAGACACCCTCGGGGAGAGACACCCATGGGGAAAGTCACCCACAGGGAGAGACACCCACGGGGAGGCACCCATGGGGAGAGAGAGAAAGATACTCATAGGAAGACACCCACAGAGAAACACACTAGTGGGAAGACAGGCACACGCACGCACACACACACACACACACACACACACACACACACACACACACACACACACACACACACACACACACACAAGTATAGAATCCCACAGTATGCTACCAGGTCTCCCACCCCCACAGGCCCCCCAAACCACAGTGTTGGAAAGGAAACTGAAGGTATGGTACACAAACGCTGATGGAATAACAAACAAGTGGGAGGAGTGGCACGAAAGAGTCAAAGAGGCATCACCAGACATCATAGCGATCACAAAAACCAAGCTTACAGGTATGATAACAGATGCCATCTTTCCAGTGGGATACCAGATCCTGAGAAAAGACAGAAGGAACAGGATGGGGTGGAGGAGTGGCATTGCTGATCAAACACCGATGGAATTTTGATGAGCTGGAGAGAGGAGACAGCGGAGAAGAAAGTGATTACATAGCGGGAACACTTCACTCTGGTGGTCCCAAGGTGATAATTGCAGTGATGTATAACCCACCACAGAACAGCAGGAGCAATAGAGTGATGGTTGACACACTGGCTGCAGTGGCGAGAAGAGCTCATGCATGCAGGGCAAAGCTCCTGATCATGGGCGACTTTAACCACAAGGAGATCGAATGGGAGAACTTGGAGCCACATGGGGGCCAAGATACATGTAGGCTAAGATGATGGAGGTGGTACTGGAAAACTTCATGTACCAACACGTAAGGGACACTACAAGAGAGAGAGGAGAGGATGAACCAGCAAGACTAGACTTAGTATTCACCTTGAGTAGTGCAGATATTGAGGACATCACATATGAAAGACCCCTTGGGGCCAGCAATCATGTGGTTTTGAGTTCGAATACACAGTAGAGCTACAAGTGGAGGGGGAAG